TCACACACTGCACCTGCCAACACTTGTGGTACAACAGTCTTGTTAGACAATTTCATTCATCTCCCTTTTTTCTTTACATTAAGATGATCACTTACCTTACAGAAGTACCCATAGAATAATATTGTTATGAAAACATTCCTTATGTTTAGACTCCTTGTAGTCATGCAGTCTTATAGTGTTTCCATTGAATTATTTCCAAATTACATTGTGAACAAGATTATTTTTTTCTGACACGAGAAATTAACTTGGTATCATGAATAGTACAGAGGCTCTTGTGACCTTTCATAAGCGATTAAGGCCCTTTCTCTGCCTCCTGAAAGTGACCTGAGACATGTCAGCCTAGTCTTGAAGTACAAATTCTTTTGGGCCTCTGCAATCCTATGTTCATATTTTGAATCTGGTAACAAAAGACAAAATAGGATTTTTTTTTTTTTTGAGATGGGAGTCTTGCCCTGTCTCCCAGGCTACTTCAGCCTGGGAGTGCAGTGACACAATCTCAGCTCATTGCAACCTCTGTCTTCTGGTTTCAAGCAATTCTCCTGCCTCAGCCTCCTGAGTAGCTGGAATTACAGGTGCACACTGCCATGCCAGGCTAATTTTTTGTATTTTAGTAGAGACGGGGTTTCACCGTGTTGCCCAGGCTGGTCTCTAACTCCTGAGCTCAAGGACTCTGTCCACCTTAGCCTCTCAAAGTGCTAGGATTACTGGTGTGAGCCATTGCATCCAGCCAGGAATTTTCTTTTAAGAGTGCTTTAATCTTTGGTCTTTAGAATTCTAGTGCTCAAGTTATGAAATGGAGGAGGATATCTATTTTTACACTGAGTAACTCACACATTCCTTCTCAATGAGGGAAAAAATGTATTTGTCTAAGAAGATATATACTAGTTCATTATACGTGTTAATAATGAAAATAGTAGAACATGTCTAAGAATGTCTTTTCAAGGGCTGCATAGCGATGGAAATCTCAATTAAGCTTTGGAATCCGAAACATCAGAATTGACACAGCATTGATAAGCAGAAAAGCAAATAATGCTGACATGAGATTTTCAACCTTCTCTCCTATGGCTTTTATGACCCTTGAAAGGAGACTGGTGTCAACTAAGACCACTGATTTGTACTAAGGAGTGTTTGCACCTTGTGTCTTCTCTTGTGCTAAAATAGCTCTGAGTAAATGCTTTGATTCCCTCAAGGTACTTATGGGACTTTTTTTCCTAATGTTTCTTTTCCTATGTCTGAAAAGATTCAAGCTCTGACTTAAGGCTTTGCCACAGTCATGACATTTGTAGGGCTTCTTGCCAGTGTGGGTTCTTCAATGTTGAATCAGAATCGAGCTTCAACTGAAAGCCTTTGCACACTCATCACATGCATAAGGTTTCTTTCCACTGTGGATTCTCTGATGTAAAATAAGGGCTGAACTCTGACTAAAGATTTTGCTACATTCATCGCATTTGTATTATTTTTTCTGAGAAGGGTTTCCTTGTCTTCTTTCAAACTTACCATCTTGTTCACAGGTTCTTCTATATGTGGAACTCTGGGAGGCATTCATATGAAGGCTGTTGGAAGCATCGTAATGCAGTTCTATGCCTGAAGAAGTCTTTTGCCTTGAAGCAGATTTCACAATTATAGTTTTGATGTCTTCATCTGAAATAGAAAAACAAATGTCACCAGGAAAGAGAGAGAATGATCCAAGTTAAATATACATGATTATTAGCTAGCAGATTTATAAAACAACACACATTATAGAGGATGGAGAGTGTATGACAAAATATTGAGAAGATTATATAAGACAAAGAGAAAGGTTTACATACTGAGGAGGCAGTCAACTAAACTATAAAGATGCAAAGCTCTGTGGAAAAGACAGAAAAGGAAATAAGGATTAAAAGGTATATCAGAGACTAAGGAAAGTCTGGAGGAAAGAAAGGGCTTAAAAAGAGGGAATGATTGGAGATGCAGACAGACAAACAGAAGTAGAGGAATCCGATGTGGCAGTGGGAGTAAGAAATGAGATTTAGTACTGGAGTATCAATAAACAAACAAAAGCTTAATAATCATAAAGGATTCAATAACTATGCCAAGAAATGAGCTGAAGAAAGCCAAGGGGCCAAAAAGGAATGTGGAAAATAAAGTAAGAAAATATAAGTTAGGCAAATAAAGGGAAGGTTATAGACTAGGATAACTAGCACCTCAAAAGATCAAGTACCCATTGAAGAAATATCTCTGCTCCTGTATGGATTTGATATTACTGGTTGAACAGCTGTCTGTTGTATTATTTTGTATGACCTTTAACGTCTATGAGAAATGTACGTGGCTGCTTATGGGCTGTGGCCACTCAGGCAGCACACAAATCTGGCTTGATGCAGAGGGCCTTATGACTCAGGGTGCCTGAAGCTCCAGCAGAACTGCTAACTCGGATGTGAAAATGCCAGTGTAATTTGGATGCATTACCTGAAGAAATCACTTCAGTTATCCTCATGGTGGCATTTTAACTGAAGCTGCTGAAAGATAGGAGCTTAAAATGAGTTTATAAAAGCAAAGTACAACAGTTTTGGACATGTCTGGGGACATGACTTGGCTGGGGCTGTGACTACTGGGGATGCCTTTATCTGAAGTAATTACATAAATAAGATTAAAAGGAACCCAGAGAGGTACTGATGTTAAGTGATCCTTTGGGCCCTCCTGAGGCCAAATAAAAATGATGGGGTGAGAAAGGAGGTCTGGGGAGAATAGTCAGTGACGGAGTGTGATACTGAGTAAGAAAACTATGAGTTGTTGTTGTTTTATTCTTTAGAATTTAATTGAAAATGGCTCTACCTGCTGTCTCTACAATCTCCTTAGAATCACCCAACACAAGTTCAAATCTTAACATGAGCCCTTCCCAATTCCTTCTTAATAACAAACCCCATAGTTTCCATGGCGTGTTCTCTTTTCTGCTGCAGCAAACTAAATAAACCTAACTGAAAAAGCTACATAAAAATCAAATCAAATGGACCTAAATAGTTATTACAAAAGGAATTTAAAATTATTTCTTGTATTTATTCACAAAGGTGGTATCTCAGTCCATTTTCTGTTGCCTAGAATAAAACACCTGAACCTAAGTAATTTATTTATAAAAAGAATTTATTTCTTATAGTTATTGAGGCTGAGAAGTCATAGGTGAAGGGGTGTATCTGGTGAGAGCCTCCTTGCTGGTGGAGACCCTCTGAAGAGTCCTGAGGCAGTAGAGGGCATTTTATGGTGAGAGGGCTGATCACACTAATATGCTAACTCAGCCCTTTCTTCCTCGTCTTATAAAGTTACCAGTTTGACCAGTATGACTCATTAATCCATGAATGAGCTAATCCATTCATGAGGACAGGGGTGATAATCCAATTACCTCTCAAAGTTCTCACTTCTCAATACTGCCACATTTGGGATTAAGTTTCAACATGAGTTTTGGAAGAGACAAACACGCAAACCATAGCATATGGCATACTCATTTATTATTACTAGTTTAAGTGGAAATCATTTTATAAATGGTTCTGTCTCAAATTCATTTTCAATTTATTCCAAAGTGACCTCAATGATTAGTCATTACTATCAAAATCCTGGCATAAATTAGTACTTTACAGCACTAAGACCAAGGTCATCTCCTACAAGCTTTGATAAGACATGACTCAGTACCACAGAAGTCATTTTGTGGCCTTAAATGGCTGTATTATTCTATCACATGATTCTGGTTCTCTCTGCCTTGTATTGCAAGATCCTGGACCCTTTGCATTCTGTTTCAAATTTCTACAAATCTTAGAAAAATGTAAGAAAGGGCTCCATGAGGACATTCACAGGTAGAATGTGGTTCTTGCCACACCTGGCCTTCAGGTTGGTCACTTCTCTAGTCAACACCACACCAAGCTGCTGAGTCTGGGATGGTCTCCCTTTCTTTCCTGATGAAAAATACTTCTTCCTGAAAAGACTTTCACTTTTCTAAGTAAACCAAGACAATTTCTAGACTGGAGGTATTAAGTGTCCCAGTATAAGCCTTTTGAGAGCCAGTACTTGCCAAGTAAAGGTGAACAATGTTTTCTAAATCTCTTTTTAAATTACTGCATTTTCTTTGTATAGTTTCTTATAAAAATTCCCTCAGAAAAACTCTAACCTTGCTTAGCTATCAGCTATGAACTATGAAAGCAGTGCTGGAGAGGGGAGGAAATCCTCCTAAGTAGGATTTTCCTCTTAATCTGTGGATCCTATTTTATGCAGGATAATCATCTAGAAGGAGCGTTTCTGCTTAAATGTTACTTCATCAGCGAGGCCTTCCTACCACTCTATGTAATAAGATCTTATCCCCACTATTCTGTTTAAAGTAGGATGGCCCTTTTATCAAATGAAATTTTACAGAGTTCCAATATATATAAAACAGATGAAAACACAGCTACTTTGTCTGATGCAGGAGCAAGTAGTTCCAGCCTACAAGGCCTGTAACTCAGCCTTATTTCCACTTCTTACCTTCATCTAACCCCCTTATTCTTTGTTTTGTTTTTGTTTTTCCCCATAGCTCTTTATTTGTTTAGTATCTGCAATGGAAGAACAGATTGCTACACAGCTATTTTGGAGCACTTGTAGAAAGTGATGCAAAGAGGAGTTGAGGCCAGTTGAGGATGTGAGGAAGTTGAGAAATGTATTTAAAGCACATAAGACAGCAAAGTCACCTTAGCAGCAATATAGGCAATTTTGCTACTAGATCCCACCAGTAACTGAGCAGTTATATAGGAAATGATGATGAGGATCAGTGGTCTCTAGACTGTATACCTTAGGGTCCCACAGAAGGGCCTCAAGGGCTGCCTGAAGATAAAGGGCTACTTTAAAAAGGCTTGAAAACCCTGCTGGAGATGATGTCAAGGATTTAAAATCTGAAGACTTTATAAGAATCTCTGAAAAATAAGCCAGAACAAAATACTGAAGATCTTCATTTAGTAGGACAAATAACAGAAGTTCCCACAGTGAGAAGGAGATGAGAAGGCGGGATTTGAGGCTTCTTGCATAAATCATCAGAGATGTGTGTGGTGAGCAGAAGGCCCCCACACCTTCCACCATGAACTGAATTCTGCCCCCTCACCATGTGGTCTTAAGGACTGAAGCTTCCATGATGCTCCCTGGAGCTACTTCTTCACAGGCATGAGCTGGCTACTTGGCAATTCCTCAGTGATTTCTGAAGGTGCTAGCTTCTCTGCAATCATGTCCTTCCTTTGTCCATAAAAGACCTAACTGAGGCTGAAGAACACTATCAGGTTGGGACTTGAGGATAAAATAACAAAGAAGACACTATGCAAAAAGTATCCTGGACACAGGACAATGGAGGGAAAAAGTAGAGCCACCTTCTATTTGCTGGGTCACCCATGAGTACTTTCACCCCTAAACATCCAGTTGTGCTGAGTCGGAATACAGTTTGAGAGCTCAACTCCCAGTGATGTGCCCGGGCTCTTGATTCAGCCTGGTGGTTCATCTCCACAGGCATCCTTCTTATCTGCTCTGGTCCATCAAGCTCTCTTTCCACATCCTCCAGCATAGTCACAGCTTCCTCTCCATTCTCTGGATGATGGTTCTGCACTCAGGCCTGCAGTTCTTTTGGAAGGATGGCCAGAAACTGCTCTAGCACCAGCAGCTCCAGGATCTGCTCTTTGGTGTGCATCTCTGGCCTCAGCCAGAGATGACAAAGTTCCCAGAGCCGCCTAAGAGCCTCCCGGAGCCCAAGTAAATCCTGGTAGCTAAACTGCCTGAACTACTGGCAGAAGGTCTCTGGGCTGTAGCTGCTGCTCCAGTGGAGGATAGAGTCCAGATCACAGGTCTGCTTTTCCTCTTCCATCTTCACTGTCAGAATCCCATCACATTCTTCTGAAGTTTGTGTTAGGAGTGATGATGACTTTCCCAATTTTGTAGACATTTTGACAGGCAAATAGCTCAGTACTGTTAGGCTTTAATCCTCCAGGAGGTGGAGCTCTCCTTATGGACACTCCTTAAATATGATTAAAGAAACAAATGGAAAGAAGACAAAGACAAATACTTCTCAGAACAAAACAACTAAATTTGAAATGTAAGACTGCATAGGAAATACTGACCCTAGTCTTAGGCTTTAATCCTCCAGGAGGTGGAGCTCTCCTTATGGACACTCCTTAAATATGATTAAAGAAACAAATGGAAAGAAGACAAAGACAAATACTTCTCAGAACAAAACAACTAAATTTGAAATGTAAGACTGCATAGGAAATACTGACCCTAGTCTTAACAGAAACCATGTTTATTTTATTTTATTTTTTTGAGACGGAGTCTCGCTCTGTTACCTGGTGTGTAGTGGTGGGATCTCCGCTCAGTACAACCTCTGCCTCTCGGGTTCAAGCGATTCCCATGCCTCAGCATCCTCAGTAGCTGGGGCTACAGCTCCATGCCTGGTTAATTTTTGTATTTTCAGTAGAGATGGGTTTTCACCATGTTGGCCAGGCTAGTCTTGAACTCCTGACTTCAGGTGATCCACCTGCCTTGGCTTCCCAAAGTGCTGGGATTACAGGCATGAGCCACCATTCCTGGGCCTGAAACCATGCTTTTAAATAATATTTCTTTAAGAGAACGAAACAGCTAAGACTCATTACTTCATATACATAGTGATTCACAATTCATTCTGAAAACCATACACACAAGGCTACTGAATATTACAATAAGAGATCAGCCAGGATTGCACAGAAGCTCCCAGATAAAGGGAAGCCTGGGAAATGCTATGACTCTGGAGCCAGTTCAAAGACCCCATCAGTTTTTAGTCTGCTACAAAGAGCTCAAAGTAATAGTCTCATGAGGGAAGTACTTTTGTGTGAGTTTTTTCAAGTTTTACTGTTAAAACATCATTTCAACGTTAAAGGAACCATTAAAAACACACACACACAATCAGCTGGGCACTGTGCTCCTGCCTGAAATCCCAGCACTTTGGGAAGCCAAGGTGAGAGGTGGGAGGATCACTTGAACCCACGCATTCAAGACCAGCCTGGGCAACATAGTGGGACCCCATTTCTACA